ATCGGTGAGAGAAGAAGAATCGAACCGAGTTTAAATTCCTTGTTAGTCTTTTGCATTCACTTTCGCATAAATGCTTTTAGGTAAGTATGAATCTATCTCTTCTCCCGACATCTATTGTATTCATAGCAGGGTAGATTTTATTATGTAGCCTTTGCCCGGCAAAAAGTTTAAGACTGTATTTCTCAACATTTTTAATCCAGTGCACCCTTTTTGCCATAAGTCAGAATGTCCTTTGTACCCTTTCCAAGATTGTCCGACTCAAAAGGTGCATTTCAAATAATATGCATATATTATTGAAAATTTTCATTCATTTCCATATTACTACGTATACATTTACATGGATTATTTTTATAGAGAAGTTTTACAAATTTAATTGCAATAGAATATTTTGATGGATTTTTAAACATGTACAGTAATTTGTTTCAATTTATAACTAATTATTAAATAAATAAACTGAAGCATACTTCAATAAATAAAAAGTTTAACAGAATTCCAGGGTATTGGAATTCAATAAACAACATTCTGTAAATAAAAAAAAGACAAGAAAAAGTAAAAGATTCACTCCTAAAACCCTGAAATAACACCTGGGGTGGGGGTGGGGGAAACCCCACTCTTAATTGAAAACCTCTGATTTACAAGAATAATTTTATATTTACAATTTCTAAAAACATGAAATATCACCCTCACTCTTTCCAAGACTGTCCGACTCAAAAGTTGCATTCCAAATAATATGCATATATTATTAAAAATCTTCATTCTTTTCCTTATTAGGACTTATACATCTACATGGATTATTTTTGTCATGGCAAAAAACACAAGAGTTTGCGGAGAAAACTCAGCGTGACCTCTCAGCTGCGTGGGCTGATACACATCGCAGCTTGTACCGCTTTGGGGAGTTCCAGAGTTAACATTTTGAGTCTCCCAATTCCCCACCCACTGAAACATTGAAATTACCCTATAGCGGAGAATTCCCCATTGGTTGAGAACGCCTGGTTTAAGAGATTGACTTGATTCACTGATTTCTTTTTTATGGTTTATCACCCCTATGAAACATATTTTGAATTATAAGAATGTAAGATTGTAACGATTTAAGAAACGTATTTTGAATTTTTATTTATTTTATTTGTTTTGCATATGAATATTGCAATAAGAATTTTTTGGCGATCACAGGGGGGGGGAAGAAGAAATGAATTCATGCATTTCCCAGGCGTATTTGCGCAAAAATGAATGTAAAGAATTCGACTAGAATTTGAATGTTCGATTTCTCATTCCGAGTGGCTATCCATCACCAGCACATCCATGAAGAGAATGTGAAACCGTGGAGAAGGTAATGTGAAACCGTGAAGAAGGTAATGTGAAACCGTGAAGAGGGCAATTGGAAACCATTCCATTATCTTTTCCAGAAGTGCATAGCAATTCACAGATAAGAAATGTGATGATCGTCTTCGTCTTGAAGGGACATATTATTAAAATATGAACATACCCTAAGCTACAACTTACAAAATACACTACCTTTTATAAGAATCGTAGCAATGCACAGCTTACAGATATTAAAAAATTGAAACTGTAGGAAACCATAATCGTCTACGTCCTGAAGTGACACAGTGTTTGAAGAAAGAGACACAGAGAGAAAGAAACAGAGAGAGAGACAGAGAGATAGAGAAACAGAGAGAGAGAGAGAGAGAGAGAGAGAGAAAGACAGAGAAACAGAGATTGACATAGAGAGAGACACAGAGAGAAACAGATAAAGGCAGAGAGAGATACAGAGAGAGGGAGAGGGAGAGAGAGACACACACACATACACAGACAGACAGAAACAGAGAGACAGAAAAAGAGAAACAGAGAGAGACAGGGAAACATTGAGAAACAGAGAGACAGAGGGAGACAGGGAGAGAGAGAGAAAGAGAGAGATAAAGACAGAGAAAGACACACACACAGAGACACAGAGAGACACACACAGAGACAGAGAGAAATAGAGAGAGACAGAAAGAGAGAAAGAGACAGACAGACTGACAAATAGACAGATAGAAATAGAAAGATATATGTTTATACATTTCTTTTAAGTTTTGAAAAATACCATGTCCCTTCAGGAATCTTTATTATCAATGAATTGCCATATTTTCTTCGGAAAGATGGTGGAGTAGTTTCCCATTGTTTTCTCCACAGTTTGGAATTCGGGGTTTTCCTTCCCCTATATTGGCTGCAACTGAAGGCTACAGTAACCAATTTATTCTAGTTAACCCTTAACTAGAAGAGAAGAGATAGATTTATGTATTTCCCAAGGATTTTAGTGTGAATTGCTATGCCTTTTTCGGAAAGATAGAGTGGTTTCCTATGTCCTTTTACATGGTTTGAAATTCAGAATTACCCTTCGGTTGAACTGATTGCTGCCCACGGCTAGAGAGTTCAGTCGACCATATATTTACCCATAGCTAGGGAGAAAATAGATGGACTCTACCAAGGGTATTTATTGTAAAAGTGAAAAAGCAATAAAAATTAAGATTTTAGATTAAAACTTCTCGACTATTCCAGACTATTATTCATTACTGACTACTAGTTAAAATGAATAATAGACCCAAAAAAATAAACACAAAAAAAACAACCTATAAACTCTAAAAAAAAATACTAAAACAATCTAATATTATACTTAAAAAAATCGTGGGCTATCACAAATTCATTTTTTAAAAAATTTATCTGTGAAAATAGCTACTTGGGAAAGATGGTGGAGTAAATTTCCATTGCCTCCTCCTCCTCCTCAATTTTGAATAGTTCTCTATGTTTAGATGGCAGTCTGTCAATAGACTGGCTACGACCCAAGCTTAAACAACCCAATCTCCCTTAATATTCAGCTCCTTGCTTGGATTGTGGATATAATAGATGGATTCATTCTTTACAAAGGCATTAATACGAAATTGAACGGAACAGACTAGGTCACGGTTTGAACCCGGCATTACGATTACATTGTTTCGCATCTGTAACTGTTACACTAACCAACTGTAGCGAAAACAACATTTGTGTTAATAAGAACACCCTCAAAATAAAAATAAAATCTTTTGATAAATATATTGCGTGTAAAATGTTCCAGCGTATTTTATTTTTATTCAAGAAGAAAGCTGGATCAGACCAAAAGTGGCAAATTGACACAATATATGGACAGGAGCTGCCCAGTCTTAACTTTCCAGAGTCTCCGCGTCCATGTAGGCGATGAATTACAACCCTTTTCCCAGTGACGAAAAGTTGTAAGCCTCTTTCTACTCGCCATTTCCATGGAAAGTGCTCAGACGAGCTACATCCCTTAGTTCCTTAGTTGTAACCTTCACGGATAAGACACGCCATGCCACACACATTGTAGCGAACCACCGTAATTCGATTTGTATACAATTGATAAGATGTAAGGTCTACGAACCATTACTTCGTGAAACTGACTCCCAAGAGGATGCTTTCCCGATCATTCCAATCTTAACATATTCATGTTTAGAGTTACCGATATCTTTCCCACATATGCCCATAAACCGTGTCTCTTAACTCTCACTTTGTAGCTCACTCTCTCTCGAGTGGCTCTTGGGCCTTATACAGGGTGAAGATTATTATAAAAAATGTGTATGCAATTTAAAAAAATAAAAAGTAAATGACGTTGGGAACTTCATCGCTTTAAAACATGTTTACGTGTACACTCATAAACGCATTTTTCTCTTAGTCTCTCTCTCTCACTCACTCTCTCTCTCTCTCTCACTCACTCTCTCTCTCACTCACTCACTCTCTCTCTCTCACTCACTCTCACTCTCTCACTCACTCTCTCTCTCACTCACTCTCTCATTCACTCTCTCTCTCACTCTCTCTCTCTCTCTTTCACTCACTCACTCTCTCTCTCTCTCTCATACACACATATACACATAGACTTTTCATCTTTTTTTTTATCAGGCAAAGGCATCGATCTTGGGTAGGCGGAGATGTTACTTCCAATTCCATTTTGAAACTTTACATCCAAAGCCCCTCCCCCACTACCAATCAGACTTAGGCCTTGCGAAATCAACACTTTTTTTTTGGACATTTAAAAATCCAGCCACATTTTCTGGAAGGTTCTTCTAATATATGCTCCCAATCCCCAGTTCCTTCTTTGAGACTGACCGTTATTGTCGCAGAGAAATTACACGCGTGATGGCTAAAGACCTGGACACTGACCCATAATTAATTTGGACTTAGTGACCTATGGAATTTTTTGTAGGCCGGTCAATTGGTCGTTGGCGGCCTTTTTTTTTTCTTTCCTTTTCTTTTTTTTTTTTCTGTTCTAAGTGTTTGTTTTTTTTCTTCTCTTCGTTTCCCTCTTTCTCGCTTTAATACCGCCATTCTTTTTTTTCTTTTTTTCTTTTTGACTTTCTTTCTCCCCTTTTTGTTACTGTATTTCTTTCTCTCATTTTCTTTTTTTATCTCATCTTCCGTATCACTTAACTTTATTTTCTAGTACTTTTCCCTTTATCTTTCTATCTATTTTTCTTTTCCTGTTTATTCCTATTACTTATTGTTCTCTCTTTTTCCTTACATCAGTCTCTTACGTTCTCATTCCTTCTTTTAACCTCTCAACTTTTTCCCTCCCTCTTTTTCTCCTCACATCTCTCTCTCTCTTTCTCTCTCTCTCTCACACACACACATACCCATTTATACACGGTTTGAGCTTCTATTTTTCTAGAGTGTCGCGTCATTTTGTTAAAACAGTAATAGAGAAATAAATAAGTTTTCGTTTGGTATAAGGACTTAGTGGTGTTGATGATACTGGAAAAGGGTACGGGATATGCGATGGTGGGTGGAAAGTTGTCGTTTGTGATGGGGTTTTGAGTATGGGAGAGGGTGTGTGGAGGGAGGGTGGGTCATTCAGCGACTTGGCGTCAGACCTCCTCCTCCTCATGTTCATCATTTCCAGGCTTCATCTCTATGTATTCATTGCATCTACTTTCCAGAAAATAAGAATGTCGCCCGAAAGTGAGTATCGTCTATCTCGTTAGCAAACCAACTCCTTGAATAACGTCTCCACACCCGCTCACTCCTTCTCTCTCTCTCTCTCTCTCTCTCTCACACACACACACACACAAACACCGGACAGGAATAATACACACGCAATCACATACATAGACAATCGCACAGTCAGACACTTATTTTTAGAGCTTCCTTTCTTTTTTTTTTTCGTTGAAAGAGTTTGGTTCAGTATTTTATGAGAAAGAAAAGTGTACTCGAATATATGTAGACATATCCTTAACCATTTTAACACATTAAAACCGTAAAATCCAGTGTTAATAATAAAAATAAAAATCCAATATTACAGTTCGACCCCCCCCCCAAAAAAAAACATTGCTATTAATAATGGTTAAAAAAAAAGTACTAATTGTACGTTTTTAGTTCTAGATACCTCTAAAGAAAAGCACTAAGATTTAAACTGTATTTTTAAAAATAAAAAATCTTGGAGCTTTTTTTTTAGTTTTAATTTCAATCTAATAAATTAAATTAAATATTTACATTAAGTAAAATACTTTGCAATATTTCAAACTGAATTTAAATTGATTAGAATTATTTTTTTTTATTATCAGTAAAAACGCTAAAATCGTCCATATTAACAAATCTGTTTTCACAACGTCATTCTTTTTATTAAAAAATATTTAAAAATTAAAATACACTCTTCTGAAAATTTATGAGGAAGGTTAACTGATCCAAGTTTACTTAATCTAATTTGGAAAAAATATATCTTACTTTTAGTTAAAAATATAGCAGAAAAACATTTTTAGCACAGAAGTGGGTATCTTTATGAGGTGTTAACAACTCTTTCGATAGACTTATGTTCGGGAATTTTTCTAAGGGGGACATAACTGTAAAAATACTTGAATATGACGTGGATACATTATATATATACATATATATATATATATATATATATACATATATATATATATATGTTAAGAAATGGACAAGGTCCGACAATTTATTTAGACATTTTTATGTTTAACGTTGTTATTTATAGATACAAGTATTTAAGCAAATGCTCTGTTTATGATAAACAGTATTAAATAACATTTACCGGCCTGAATGTCCGAGAAATTTTCATAGAAAATATTCGTTCTTTGACAGGATTCGAACCTGCATCCTATACGGAACCGTCATATACGCTGACGTGCCTTAACCGTCTCGGCCACAAAGAACCTTACGGTAGACAAGGTCGAATTTACTATTTATAAACTTCAATTCGAAAGAATTGACTTTTTATCACGGTACTGATTTTTAGCGAATCTTTGGAAGTACCTACACGTATAACACATTAATGTCCAATGTTCCAATTTGGTTAAAAGTAATATATATAAAGAAATAAGGATTTTAGTTTTTAATGTGACATTTTTGTTACTTTAAACGTTATTTTTTGGTGAATATCTGTACTTGAGTAGATATTCTGCTTGTTTTAATAGTATTTATTTCGTTTACCTGTCTAAATCCCGGGTAGAAAGCACATTTTTATTAAGTTTTCTCAAGTCCACAGTCCGGCAGAAAATCTTTGTAAAATATTGTTTCATAGATTTGTTACTTCCCAATCATTTCATTTTTTTTTGTAGCGTTTAATGTTTATATTAGTTATAAGGACAAGTCCTCGGAGAATTTAAATCACAAAATATTTTTTGGTGAAACGCAGCTACAGTTACAGAAAATTTGCTCTGAATAGTACAATTTTTAAAAAAGGCAATAAGACTAAAACATTATTTAATTACAATTTTTTTTATTTGCTTTTATGGATATATATATATATATATATATATATATATATATATATATATATATATATAAAAGATATCCATGTTATATTCAAGTATTTTTCCAGTTACGTCCCCTTAGAAAAATTCCCGAATATAAGTCTATCGAGAGAGTTATTAACACCTCATAAAGATACCCACTTCTGTACTAAAAATGCTTTTCTGGTATATTTTTAACTAAAAGCACATTGACTGTCGTATTCAATGAAATGTGCATGAAAGAAAGATTGCTGCCTAAATACACAAATATATATATATATATATATATATATATATATATAACAGTTCCAAGAAACTTCGAAGTCAGGGAAACGACATAAAAAAAAGATATTTATACTTACGTAATTTTCTTGTATATAATATTATCAATACTCTATTTTTAATATTAATACTTTTTTAATATTTTCAATATTGAACACTATATGAAAATATCTGCATTACTTTTGAATTATTATATTCTTAAATGTTAAATATGTAATATCTAATATTGAGTAATCTCAGAGAAGAAGCGACTGAATCGAAAGAAAATGTTGTTTCAACTGACGGAATACATGACGCAATTAAAGAAGCCATTGGTGAAGTTTTTGGGATACATGATACGGAAAAAGGGTTTTAAGAATGTAACTCTCCAAGATATGTTGAAGGCAAAAGAAGCAGGGTGAAACAGCAAATACCCGAATGGATGGTAGAAGAAAACACAAATGGTATGGTGAATGGTAAAATAAGATATTGAGAGTAACAAAAGACAGGAAGTTAGAGAGAGACATCGTCGCCCATATCCTGAAGATACATGACACATAAAAGAAGAATTAATTACTTGACAAAAACGGGGGCACACTGGAAGGATTATGTTTATTAATGGCTGAGACGTTCAAGGTTATAACCAAAAACTAATTTGTTCATTTGGTTCCTTAAAAGAAAACAAATATATAATATTATTCACCATTTTATTTCAATATTCTCTCATCAACTACCTAATTCCATCCTCCAACGTATTTTTCAACCTTTCTCAGCAAAGAAATGCTCTTGGTGTCTTTTTCAGTCTCCGGGGAATTGTAAAAGTATAACTGTCCTTTTTGTTCATGTTTTCATTAAAATTTCTTTGTTGCTCACGCGTCCTGTCCATGGTATTGTCAGCGCTCTTCTATAGAAACACGCCTCTGTCGCCTGGAGTCTTTTTTCATCCGTTTAGGAAATTGCACATCATTTACTGGCATATAGGAGGGTTGATATTAGATAGAAGTTCAGCACTTTAAAAAAAAAATTCTAGCTGATTCCTTCTGTCACTCTGGCCTACAATGAGACATGTGAGTGTCATATTCTATGAGTTTTCTTTCCTCATTACGAGTTCTAAAAATGTCAACTGTCTCTCTCTGAATCTAAGTGTAATTGTTATTTTCTTTCACATTCACCTGGACGAGTAAAAGATTCTCAGCTAAGTTGTCATAATTCTTGTCTGGTCACCAAAGTAATGGGTAGATTAGTATTATCATGGTGGAATGGTATACCCTTTCGCTTTGTATAGTCTCTTTTTATTGAATGATTCACCCAGTTCGTTTAATTTAATTATGTACTAGTGAGTTAGCCCAAATGACTTGACTCCCTTTATAGTCCACCAATAGAAGGTTAACCAATCAGAAGACGTAAAATATTCAATCCGTCGTGTATAAAAGCGGCCATTTTGTTTACTCTATCCGAATGTCCAGTGCCAGCTTGTCAGGCGAAGAGGAACAGAAGGAAGAACTACGCTCTGCTACTTTACCGGGATATCCTGAACAACGCTTCCCTACTGTCTTCGAAATATTCACTGCTAACCTCTGGATTCTATACTCGAAGACGACCGTCATCGTGAACAACACGACTCTTATCCAATTCCCGCATAGGTGTCTTGTAATATGCCTTGAACGCCGATTGGGTCTTAAACTCAACCCAGGCCTCAAGTGGGACGCTTACAAAAGACCCATCACAAAAGATGTCTGAAAAATGGCTGGTTCCTTGTATTGTTTCAGCAAGTACCTGCCTTCTGTTATCCTCTTCTCTTTACAAGAGACAGAGTAGGACGCAAGTATTGGCAAGATCTGCCTAGTTTTCACTTTCCAATTTCGATGGAGTAGAAAGCATCACCGCGTCCTTATGGGTGATGAATTATTTTCCACCTTACAACACCTTTCCCACAGACGAAACATCTCAAGCCTCTCGCTGTTATATTTCTATATCTATGGAAAATGCGCAGACGAACTACATTCCTTAGTTCCACCAATTATAATCATGATTAAAACCCTCCACCCCATGCACATTGTTGTGAACCACCCACATTCCTTACGTATTTTAATGGTGAGATGTAAATTCTACTCATGCAGCTTCTTCGCACGAAACGCTACTTTCTGGAGCTGATTCCCAAGAGAATGCTTTCTCAATCATTGTGATTTTTAACTGTTCAGGTCTAGTGTCAACACTTATTTTCCCCATATAAGCACATAAACTGTGCCTCTAAACTCAGTAACCCTCTACCTCACGTGACTCTTCGGCCTTATGCAAGTCGAATATAATTGTAAAAAATATACAGGATCTCTTTCTTTGAAGGAATATTTTATTTTGTAAAGTTTTATGTTGATTCCTTTTGTTTGCTCTATGATTTTTGTGTTTGCCGTTGCTGTAAAATATATTTTCCATCAATTTATGTGAACGCTACATATAAAAGGGCTTAACATAACTAACTTGATGCAAATGATTTTTCTTGCTCAAGTAGAAGCCACACATCTATGTTCCTAACATAACGCTGATGCAAATTATTTTTCTTACTTATGTTGAAGCCAACATCAAAGTTACTAAAATAATCAAGCTGATGCAAACGATTTTTTTTACTCGTGTGAAAGCCACATATCCAAGTGGATAACATAGCCAAGACGGGGCAAATGATTATTTTTTTTATTTTCGTGGAAGGTATATATTAGAGTTACAAATGCTTACTAATGTAGAAGTGACAAAAAAGTGACTAGGTCCCATCAAGACGTAGATTATCATTGCTTTCCACGGATTCATTTTGTTTATTATCTGTAAACTGCCATATTATCTTGGAAAATGTAGAGGAGTGGTTCTCAATGTCATTTTGAATTCATCGATTTTCCTTCTCCTAGACTGGTTGCTTTTTTGATGCTATGTCCCTTCAAGACGTAGATTATCATTGCTCTCCAATGATTCTTTAACTTTATTAT